CGCGGTCTGCGCTGAGGAACGCCTGCTTTCCCGTAGAACCCGTTTATAGGTAAAAAGACTGACGGTAGTTTCCCAGCGCGAAAACTCTGCTCAAAAGTCGCGTTCAGGTTCCGGCCTGGTTTGTGCGTCGGCCGGCCAAAGGCTGTGCCGACCCTCGGGCAGATGCGCTGTCTCCAGGAGCGGGGCCGTGACCTGCACCCCAGCCTCGGGTGACAGCTCATGCTCCAGCCAGGAGAGAGTCCCACACGTTGACTGGTGGAGGCTCGCTGCTGCTGGGCTGATGCCGAACGGTTGCGATTTTAGTGCTTAAAAAGAGGGCAAAGTTATGTATCATAGTGATTTTTCTTAACTTTAAAGTATGGAGAGAGAATATTGCATAGCGTCTCGGTTATTATCAGACAAAAGGCAGGTGTTGCTTTTCACAAGTTCCAAATTTATTACTGTTAACTCTTTGTTTTCTTTCTGTCTCACTGTCAGTTAATAGGAATATGGTATGTCAGTGAGTGGATAGCCACGGGCAAACCTCAAGCGTTCCAGCTGGTGGAGCTGGGCCCAGGGAGGGGCACTCTCACTGATGATATACTACGGGTAGGTGAAAACTAATATTCATATTTATTTCTGGCTTTCTTCTGTGGCTGCTCTGAAATTTGAAGGAATGAGCTTTTGCTATCAGGGTTTAACCTTTGCTAGTAACCAAATCATTTCAGTCAGGAGATTTGCACCTTAGACTCTAATTAAAATATATGCAAGTTTCTGCTATTCAGTGAAGAGACCAGGCCTCTGAGTTGAAAGCAGAACACGGGCCAGTGTATGCAGGCTGCACAGACGCGTGTGTCATTTTTCAGGAATATTCCATTGCGGATTATTTCTGTATAGGAAAGCATTATGCAGACTGAAATCCATTTAGGAGGGTGCTGCTGTGTGTAACTGGGAGGGAGGCCTCAGTGCAAGCAATAGGAGGGAGAGGGGAGGACAGTAATACCGGGGTGAAGTTGTGTCAGTTCCTTGGGGGATTTCAGGAGCTTATTTCTTTTGAGTTCACCCTTTCAGTCCTATCATGCTTGCATGGCTGTCTATTAATTAAAATGTTACTGATTCAAAAACAAATCACTAATGGGATTTAGTACCTCAGAAGAACTTTTCTTCTACTTACATATGTTAGTGAAAAAGAACTCTAATAACCACAGTGAAATGTAAGATATTGAGCACTTTTTGTTTATGATGTCTGGAAGAACAAAACCATTTTTCTCCTAACGCTAAACTCTGCAGGTAGTAGGAGAGCTACTCACTTTCAGGCTATTGCTATTCTAAATTAGCATTTCATTTTGCCATCCTTAGAATTATATAATGTGTGCTGTGCTTTACTTTGTGTGCAACTTTCTTAGAAGGGTAGCAGCTTTTATTAAAAAAGCTGAATTCCCATTTCCTTCTGGAGTAGCAAAATGCAGTCTCTTTCACCGAGACTATTTTGTTAAATGAAAGCCAACTAAGTCTTTTACCTTGAACATAAGTAATGAGATTAAAGGTTAATTCTTAAACCTTTAATGTATACAGCACATGACTGTGCCTAACAGAATTCATCTGCCTTTATAGGTCTTCAACCAGCTTGCCTCTTTGCTTAGTAAATGTGATGTCTCTATTCATCTGGTAGAAGTGAGTCCCAAACTCAGCGAGATCCAAGCGCTGATGCTGACGGGAGGGAAGGTGCAGTCAAACCCCGAGGATGAGTCTGCTTACATGAAAGGCGTTAGCAAGACTGGAATTCCCATTTTCTGGTACAGAGACATTCAAGATGTGCCACCAGGTAAGGAACTTGAACATCTTCTTACAGGGATGGTGTCCTTTCTCCATTTGCTGCTTTTGTTAACGGGGCACATCTCCACTAGCCTTCTTAATGGGTAGAAAAGTAGTTAATATACGTATTTGTTCTTACTTCTTGTATGAGTCTGAGGCAGGATCTTGACTCATCCTCGTATCTGCTACCTGTTCTGATTACCTTCATTTTGGGGTAGCTACCCAATTTCATTTATTCTGACTTTTCATGGGAAAACACTTAGTGGCTTTGCCTGAATCTCCTTTCGTAAGATACTGATCTGAAATTCATGGACTGGAAGCTACAGCTAGCTGTAGAAATGCTGTCTTTGATGTATCCAAGCTGGAAATAATGATAATTATTTCACAACCACATTAACTAGCTTAATTTATTACAATGCATAAAACCATGTTACTTTTTGACTGGAAGCTGCTATGGCAGCATTAATAATTTAATGCATTCTTTTTTACCTTCCCGCAGGTTACAGCTTTTACTTAGCACATGAGTTTTTTGATGCCCTGCCAATACATAAGTTTCAGGTATAGCAAGAGGATTAATGTAATTGTGACCATCTACTTAAATGCCTTTTCTCTTTGAGGAACAACAGAATTAGGATGTCAAAGTAAACACATGCGTTGTCTATGGTGATAAAATATTTCTAACTGAACTTGGACAAATAAGGCCTAATTCAGCTGATAACTATAAAATTAGTAATTGTTCTTGAATGCAAAAACTTGTAGAAAGCTGAAGATTTCTTTGTGGTTACATAAGTCTCAATTTTATTTCTTATGCTACATTAGTAAGTTTTTAATTTCAACATTATTTTATATACCACTATTAACACAGTGCTCTGAAGGGTTTTCATTTGAATAGTAATGAGAATAGCAAAATAAAAGCTAGTTAGGATTCAAAGAAACTTTCAACTTCAGTTGGATAATTTATGAAAATCACTGGTAGAATAAGTTTATTTTGATAAGTTAAACATTGCACTGTCAATAGAAGAGGCAGCATTTTTCTCAACAGCATCATTAATTCCTTTTAATTTTAATGAAACCTGTATTTCTTGACTCTGCAGACAAGTCTCTACTGCAAGCTTTTTCCGAGGCAGTTACTGGAATTAAATAGGAATGAATAAGTGTTGTTAATAGCATATTATGTTCTTAAAATGTTTGTGAAAATGCCTGACACATTAGCTCAATCAAACAAACAAGATACTGTTGTACCCATTAGAGCGTAAAATGCATACTCTGGGTTTGTTAAACAGAGAACAGAGAAAGGCTGGCGTGAAGTGTTGGTTGATATAGACCCAGACGTTCCTGACCAGCTGCGGTTTGTCCTGTCACCATCCAGTACCCCTGCAACAGAAAACTTTATTCCGGTAAGGTCACGGCTACCAGTGTTCGTACTTAACATCCTCACTGACCCTCAAGTGCATTGACTGCTGCTCAGTCACCCGGGCAGCAAGAGGAGGGCGCTCAGTCTGTACGTGAGTGAACACAGCTTACCGTTTCTGTTCTGCAAGACTTCCACAGGCATTTAACTTTGTGTGCTGCAAACACGTAGCGCAAAATAATCACGTACATCACGCAAAATCAGAGCTGAAACAGAGAAAACGCTTCGGAGAGCAAACTGAGGCAGTGAGCGGCCGGGAGAGTTCTGCGTTGCGTGTGTCGCCACCTTCTCGACAGTGGCCCCGCTAAGCCAGGCTCTCCACTCGGTGCAGCTGGGTACTGCTGTGCTACACTGACCTTTCAGGGAAAGCATCTAAGATTTCACCCACCCCCCCCACCCCCCGTGCAGCTGGGTACTGCTGTGCTACACTGACCTTTCAGGGAAAGCATCTAAGATTTCACCCACCCCCCCCCACCCCCCCCCTAAAGTTCACTGGATTCTTAAGGTTACAAAATTAAGTCATTGAGATTAAAACCAGCTACAAAGTTTCACATAGAAATGCCTTTTTGAAGGGTGTGCAGAGCTGAAGAGCTCTTTTCACTTGTTCAGTACCACAGCGATGCAGTTTCACCTGGTACAGGTATTCTGACTTGTTAGAAAAATTTTCATTTCGGTTGATTATAGGTTGTAGAAGAGATGACTGAAATCCAACACTCAGAAAACACTAATTGAAAAGGATAGTTAGCAAAAATTAGCTGGAGCTCTGGGCAGCCTAGAATACAGCCCTGGACCTCTGTGCCCCAGTGAAGTGACAACAGCCCCAAGACGTCAGGTGTGAAGAAGACCTCTTGCCCTGTACTCACTTGCTAATGCAGGTGTTTTGATCTTTGAACTCTGCGCTAGCCTGAAGAAACAAGGGATCACGTGGAGGTGTGTCCTGAGGCTGGTGTCATCCTTCAGAGGCTTGTCTGCCGGATAGAAAAGGATGGTGGGGCTGCACTGGTTGCTGATTACGGTCATGATGGAACCAAAACTGACACTTTCCGGGTAAGTCATTTACCCTGAAATGAGAAGCCAAAATATTCCTGTTACCTTTTGTCACTTGGATCTTGAAGTTCTTGTAATAGAAAAGTCTTGGGTGGACATAACAGCAAAAAACGCATTATGCTGCAATCGTATAACTGAGCAATGGAGTTCCTATTTAACCAGTACCCATAAGGGTTTCTGCCAGATGGAAAGGATAATCTGAGCCCTCGCTACGTTTATCTCGGACTTTCAAAGTACAACTTGCTGTTCTCGCCCCTCACATGCACCACTTGGTCTTTGCTACCCCAGCTGTACCCCAGCTAGGCGTACAGCCGAGTATCTTCCAATGTAATTTTTCAGGGATTCCGGAATCACAAACTGCACGATGTGTTGCGAGCTCCAGGGACAGCAGACCTGACGGCAGATGTTGATTTCAGCTATCTTCGAAAGATGACACAGGGAAGAACAGCCACATTGGGCCCCATAAAACAGCGGGAGTTTTTAAAAAACATGGGCATTGACCTCCGACTGCAGGTATGATGGCACTTACAGGTATATAAGTACGCCTAATCCACAAGCAATACTCTTAAACAGCCAGAAAGCTTTTGTAAAAATCTGATTTTAATAGTTTAAAACAACACATAGGTGTGAGATCAGGAAGTTGCTTCTCTCTGGATCCCTTAAAGTAAACTGATTGTATTATACTGAGGAGTATTCAATGGAAAACTTTGCAACATATGTCAGTGTATGAGCTCCCCCAGGGATCTCACCAGTTCTACTGAACATGAGGGCACTGTGACATCAGTGTAAGTGAAAAGGATGCAACAAGAGATTGCAGGTGTGAGGGAATTTATAGGAAAGCAGGAAGGGCTATAACCTGTGGGGTTGTTTTATTTTAGGTCCTCCTGCAGAATTCACATGACACAGCAACTCGTGAGCAGTTGCTTCACAGCTATGATATGCTGATGAATCCCCAGAAGATGGGGGACCGTTTTCACTTTTTTGCCCTGCTGCCTCACCACAGACTCGTACATCTTGACAAGAAACAGAAGCCAAAGTCTCCCGTACAGCCTGTTGCTGGATTTGGTGAACTCTTACTGAAGTAATTTCAAATACTATAGCAAAATGTCTGACAGTAGTAGCTTTCAATAACAACTTTATTTAAATAGATTAAAAAAAAACTCTATTCCTCTGGAGTCCTGCATCTTATGGTTTCTCATACTAAATGTTTTGCAGTAACGTAACCAGCATATAGCTACATATGCAGTAAGGCAAGAACTAAATATTTTGCGTTATCTTTGAGCTGAAAGCCCATGAAATGCCACATTGCTTCTCCAGGCAGTTTTCTCACACCAATCTACACTTCAGGGCCTATCCGCAGTTTGGTAGGGAGCGCTTTTTCAGAATAAATCTAGTGCAGCACACTAAACCTATTGACTGACCTATGCAGTCTGTGTAGAAATCAAACGCTGCACGTAATAGAACCCTGTGTACACAGAGCAGAGAATGAACACTGTTTCAGGGTTCTCTGGGTAGAGCCCAATGAAATAGTGACTCATGGAATCAAGTTAAAACATGTCAGTAACAGATAAGCTAAGGAGACTTTAAAGGTACGCAGCTTTTACTTGCTTAAAACACAAGATGCTTTGACAGTTTTGAAGACATTTTTATAAAGAGAATGGCGACAGGAACCATGCAAAAAGAGTTATTAGTTCCAAAGCACCTGCTAACAGAATTCCCACAGACCCATAAGCAAAGAAGCATGAAGAAACATTTACTTCTAAGAACGTGCGACAGGAGAGATAATTCATGTAAATAAAAAGAACAACTCTGATAGGGAAATAAATTTTATTTTCAAGCTTATCAGAGGATATTTACAAACAATGGGATGTATAAAAATATAAAAGTACTTAACAGTGTCCTTTTGAGGCTATAAATTTTACATGAGCTTTTTTCTAGCATCATCGTAGCACTATTTCTTGAATGAACGCAACTTAATTCATCTAGGGGTAAGGATGGGAAACGCTGTAACCTACTGCTGTCAGTCTGCAGTAAAGGTAGAAAAAAGGGAAATAAAAACTCAGCTATTTTTACTACTCTGAAGAGTTTACTCCTAATGTATGCCTCATTTTTTGGTTCCTTGACTATTAGCGGCTTGTGGCTTCTATTCTCTGGCCCCATAAGTCTGCATATATGGTCAGGCACTCTCCTCCAAAGGCCAACAGCATTTTATTATTTTTTCTCTTTTTTTACTATAACTTGAAGAATAAATAGCTCATATAGTATTTTGGAGCAGAGCAGACTTCATGGAGAGAGATATCAGCCAAGCCGCCTACTTCGCTGTTGTCCCCTCCTTCCTCTATTCCTGTTGTGCTTTTTCAAGTGACTGAGCTGGCTTTTTTCCTCCCTTAAAATAAAACCAACACACCCACCCCCAGGACAACCTGAAGTGATAGCTGAAGTATAAAATCCGAAGTTTAAAACCAGACTGTATCTACATTATCACCATTAGGATGGAAGATAGCAACGGCTTCACTGAAATTTGGTCACTTGAGCAGTGGAAGTTGAAGAAGAAAAAAAAAAAAAAGCACTGCTTCCCTTGCCAAGCCTGGGTAAATAGCAGACTACCAACTTCACAGGTGACTGTTGTGGTTCCAAAGATGACAAATAGTGCCTCTCAGAAGAATCAGCCCTGAAACCCTGCCTTAAGGGGATGGCAAGGCTAAGGGACAAACCCTGCCCCTTCCGAATTCCTCGGCACTGCCCTGACAGCACAGAAGGGGAGGATGACCCCAGCGCAGGAGGCGCAGGGGCTGCCAGCGCAGACGGTGGGCAGAAGGGCTGGAACGCTCTGCCCGCTGCTGGCACCTGCCACACAGGTGGCACCAACGTTGTGTACGAAGTTTGGCAGATCCCAACGGGGAAGCCAGCGTTCAGCCTTTACCAACTCAGATGCCTACAAAATGCAGTGGCAGTTAGATTAAGGGCAACAGGAAAAGAAACAGGCGGGTTAAAGAACCAAACCTACCTGTGGGTACATACTTCTGCAACTGCCACTGACTTTACTGCCAGGTCACTGTCATTGCAAGCAGCTGCCAGCCCTGAAATAACCTTGTAGAATTTTATGTATATCTAACAACTTAGAAAACGTCTGCTCACATGCTTCCTTACCTGAATAACAACAGTAGAAAAAAATACTTATCTACACACACACACACTCTCACCAAAAAAAAAAAACAAACAACTTTGTAGGAGAGCGAGGCGCTCCCCCAAAGCCTCTCACCGACTTCTTTGAAATACCATGAACTGTAACTGTTACGCTGTCCTATGAGGGAATCCTTTCCAAAGAACATTGCTGCTTCCTCTGTATTGTGCCCCAAGTCCAGTAAGTGGTTGGGAATCCATCAGCTGAGGCATCTGAATGAAAAACTGAATTAGGAGTTGGTTTTGGACTCTTCTTTCAGCTCAAACAACAACGCCGAGCACAGCAGAGAAGCCAGGAGGGGCAGGTTAAGGTCAGAAGACAAAGCCTTCTCTCCTATGATCCAGCTGCCCCGGCAGAAGTGATCTGATGTCCGCTGTCGCTCCTAGGTTTTGAGCAGAGTTAAGATACAAGCTAGCAGGCTACAAACTACTCCTGATGTAAGTCCAGGGAATCTTAAAAAAGTTGGAAAAATACTAGAAAAATTTAAAAATCTAATTACTCAAAACGACAGAAGAAAGCTGCATGTATTTTTCCCTATTCTTCCACATCCTTCTGCTAGAAGCTGTTTTTCCAGAGTGAAAGGATACGCTGCGTCGGGTCTTGCGTGCTCTCTGTGCATTACTTGTGTAGCTTTAAGGCAAAATGCCTTTGGTGTGTGTCAATGACGCGTGCCAGCCTCGTACAGCAACACACTACACTGTTGTGGCTTATTGCTCTGTTTTAACAGACAAAATAAAGGACTAGTGTAGCTTTGCCTGTCCTCTCTTTAGATTGTCAGCCAGCATTTCAAGAGGAATGTAAGAAGTTAAGGAGTTTTCTTTATTTTGGGTATCTGGAAAAAGTTCAATTAGGGCAAAGACACATGTATTTCAACTGTTCTAACAGCAGCAAATTATTCCTTCATCTATGAAGCTGTATTCGACCTAAACCATCATGTTTTGCTATTAGCCAAGGTATTCTGCACTGATTTCTTTTTACAATCTCTTTTCACCATGCACAGTTTAGGAAATGGGAGATGTTATCTAAGTAACAGAAAACAGTCCTCTATGGCCTAGTAAATAGGGATTAGAAAACCATTACAAAATTCTTATTGTGTAGGCTAGGAAAAAAAAAAACAAACAACCTTGAGAAACACACAAACTATTCAATCTGTACACATTACACCTCAGTAATGGCTTTGCAGCCACACAGCCTGGTGAAATATGCTACCCAACAGGGCTTATCCCACTGTCCAGTAACTACTCATAGTATAAGCCAGAGACGGAGGAAAGCTTGTCAGACGACAGTCTATTCCCATGTCAATGCAGGATCCTCTGGGGCTTTGTACACTGAACTACGTGTACAGCATTCAGAAAGAGCAACAGTTGTTCCAAAACTTATCTTCAGTTTCTGTCTGGATCATTCTTCTTTACTGCAATTCAGCACAGTGAATAAATCAAGGGTCCTCTTCCATGTCATCCGGATTAGGAGCCATAATAAAATGCTGGGGGTACTCAAGGTTGTGTTCATAAGCATGTTCTTTCCAGCGTGCATCATCACTCTCGTGGGTAATGTAACGCTCTCCAATGCGAGTTTCAAATTCTCTGAGGTCGAGCCAAGTCTGATAATCCTAAGGAGTAAAAGAGATTTAAGGAAGCAGTTCAACAGACAGCAGCACTACGTTCCCACAGACAAATTCTGCACTTTGTCTCTACTTTTAGTAAAAATAGCCACAAGATGTAATCAACAAGATCTGTTAAAAAAAAACAAACAACCTTCCCCCAAAATACCCCAGAGCGTCCACAAAGGATGGTTCAAAATTAAATAGGCTAGTACATAAGGGTGTAATACTCTAAGTCATGAAAAACTTTTTGTAAGAAGACAGCTATGCCAGCTTTATTAAAAAATTCACTACATATACACACATACATGAAATTATACTCGTTCCAATATTGTTTGTACTCAAAATTAATTGGATTTTCCCCTTAATGTCTTTTAAGTTATCTGTGTGCATGGATATGTGCATATAGTATTGTGAAACCATTGTGAAAGGAACTCGCGTCAAAAAAGCAGATAAATTCCGTTCCAAACAATTCTCTTCTAGAACAGCTACAAGCTACAGCACAGACCAGCTCCGTGTCCACATCAGCACTGAACAAGCAATGCTTGTCTCTGTACCGATGTCAGTGGGGCTCCAAGCACTCCTACTGCCCGCATTCAGGAGAGGTGCCAGAAGAGTAATGCTCTGTGCTGGTGTCAGACAGAAAGTAAGGGGCGGGACAGACAGTAAGACAAAATTTTTTGTGAGGAAAGAAGCCATTAACAGATGGGCAGAATCCTGGAGCACATAACATGTAAAGCTAAAACCAGAAACACTCACGCCTCCTTGAATGCTTGTTAACAAACTTCACTAGTAGCAGTTCTAATAAGCCTCTGAAGGATTTCATCCAAAAAAATCACTATTAAAAGGCAGACGGGTTTACCTGTAACCATGGGTGACTAAGGGATTTGTCAACACTGAAACGTTTTCTCATCTTCACTTGAAGCAAATTGTTTATTAGATCAATGGCTGACAAAGAAGAACACAACAAAGATTATATTGCTTAAATACTAATCACCTGCATCATCATTCACACGCTGCAGTGAAAGTGAATTTTTATATATGTGTACGTGTATCCTACTGAACTGTTTTCAACTTAAACAAGCTCTTGAAGGTTACATTTAGCTGTGCTTACGTTAAGTGAGGCTACAAAATAGGTTTGGGCTAAGCCCCCCCCTCCCCGATCTTTACCCTACTGATTTTAGTGATTTTCAGAAGTGCCTAAATAACGTGAGCATAATCCTGTGTTCCAAAATGACGTAGGTACTGCCACTATCATATACTTTTGTGTATGTCTTTCCGCATCTACCTGTGTGTTAATCATATATCCATTACTAAGAAC